CCACATGGCTCCCTAACATTGCCCACACCACATGGCTACCTCATACTGCCCACACCATATGGCTCCCTCACATTGCCCACACCACATGGCTCCCTCACACTGCCCACACCACATGGCTCCCTCACATTGCCCACACAGTTGTGTTACCCCGTACTGCCCACACTCTGTGGTTCAAGCACACTTTATGGTTCCCTCACACTGGCCACCCGATGTGGCTCCCCCACACTAGCCACACCATGAGGTTTCCTCACACTGGTCACACTAAGAGGTTCCCTCACACTGGCCACACGAAGAGGTTCCTTCACACTGGCCACACCAAGAGGTTCCGTCACACTGGCCACACGATGTAGTTCCCGCACACTGGCCACACGATGTAGTTCCCTCACACTGGCCACACCAAGACGTTCCCTCACACAGGCCACACCAAGAGGTTTCCTCACACTGGCCACACCAAGAGGTTCCCTCACACTGGCCACACCAAGACGTTCCCTCACACAGGCCACACCAAGAGGTTTCCTCACACTGGCCACACCAAGAGGTTCCCTCACACTGGCCACACCATGACGTTACCTCACACTGGCCACACCAAGAGGTTCCCCCCACACTGGCCACACTGAGAGGATACCACACACAGGCCACACCAAGAGGTTCCCTCTCACTGACCACGCGGTGTGGTTTTCTCACTTTGGCAACACCAAGTGGTTCCCTCTCATTGGCCACACCAAAAGGTTCCACACACTGGCCACATTACGTGGCTGCTCACACTGGCCACACTACATAATTCCTCACGCTGGTCACACTACGTGGTTCTTCATACTGGCCACACTACGTGGTTCCTCGCACTGGCCACACTAAGTTGCTGCTCACACTGGCCACAGTACGTGGTTCCTCACACAAGCTACACTAAATGGTTGGCCACACTACGTTGTTCCTCACACTGGCCACAGTACGTGGCTGCTCACACTGGCTACACTACGTGGCTCTTCACACTGGCCACTCTACGTGGTTCCTCACGCTAGTCACACTACGTGGCTCCTCATACTGGCCACACTACGTGGTTCCTCACACTGGTTACACTAAAAGGTTGCTCACACTAGCCACAGTACGTGGTTCCTCACACTAGCTACACTAAGTGGCTGGCCACACACTCACTCTAGCCACAATACGTGGCTGCTCACACTGGCCACACCATGTGATTCCCTCACACTGAGCCTGTACGGCTTCTGTTAAAGCAGTACAAGTCAAGGATCATCACACTGTTAAGTGGCGTTAAACACATCCGAGAACGTATCTGCCCCGGCCCCCACCTCAAGGTAATTCACATTTTCATTTAGTTACCAAAAGGTAACTCATTACACCATCCTTGGCTCCATCAACGAGTGACTGTTGTACCTTACTGTACAGAAGACTTAGCTAAACTGCACTGTGTTGGACTACTAGAATCTGTGTTTGTAGTCTGTGAGCACACAGCCAAGCATCGTCTGCTCTAGTTGGATTTCTGATTTCACACCTTTATTGAACAGAGAAGCACTTTTCTGATTCGGAACCCCCTAATTTAAGATGTTTTTATATAAAATTCAAGTAAGATATACTTACACCATAATACAATATCACAAATATGCCAAAATAACACTTCATTCATAATATAATAATCATTTTCATGTTGTAGTTGTCGTCAGATAGCAGCAAGTAATTTTGACTAACGTAGAAGTAAACAACCTCTTCAACAGCAAAACACACCTCACTATATTCATTTATTTTGAACAATATAATCACTATCACCTCCTCAGCCACAAAACAGCCGTGTTTGTTAAGCATGTGGTGCTCCCACATCTTTCGTAACATATATCAGACCTAATCTAAAGCCACGTCTCAACTCTATTTACCGCGTGAGCGTTGCTAAAGTTCATCTTGAAACAATGACCCGTTTACTCATAATAGTCATAGCAACGATCAGGATATGCAGACAAACAGTGTCAGATTCTCTTCTCTGGCATATTACTCTAACAAAGTTCGTTTTGTCCGACATTGTTAATATGCATTAACATATAATATTATTCGTATGACAGAAGCCCCTATACTTTAAGGATATTCGACCTCCAGCTCCTCTACTTCTGGGTTACTGGTTGTCCAAAGGCATGTTGGAGGTGTCACGGACACCATGTTTTACTTCATCAAACATTGAACAGTGTTCTCCTTGCATTAATGCAACGCATCAACTTCTGCCGAACTTACACACACCCTGGACCTCTGCATGAGAACAGGAGTCGTTACCACGGCGCCACAAGGACAACAAAAAAGCAGTTTTAGGCTTTGTATTACTTCACACAAAGCCTGTTTATTCGTCTTATTTTTAAGCAACGTAAACCTCTATAGGGAATTAGGCTACCCATGCCAACTAAGTGGTCGTAATAGCATTTTACTGAATCCAGCTATAAAAAACGAGGCTACATAATTATATACCCACTCAGTTTCATCCTTAGAAACAAACCTGAGAAGCTTCTCAATAAAATCTATCCACAAATTTCTCTGAGACTTGTATTAAAAACCCAGAGTTCAATTAAAAAAATCTTTAAAACTAAAGACACCATACCCACACACACTTTCATTCCTCAGATGTTTATAAATTTACGTGTGCTAGCTGTAGAGCAGCATATATAGGAAAAACAAAAAGACACTTGATAACTCGCATCCATGAGCACTTGGGCCGTTCCGTCCGAACAGGCCAGTTAATCACACAACCACCACATTCAGCTACCCGCAACCACGCCCACCAACATGATCAACCGTTTTCGCAATCTGATTTCTCAGTTCTTGGCAGGAGCAACTGTGAGACGGACCTCCTCCTGATTATGGAAGCCTTGTATCAATATCAAGTAAAGCTTTAAAAAAAAATAAAAATTCCGGTAGGGAATTTTTTTAATGATGTTTCATGTATATTACCTGTATTTTTTCTTCTGTTTTCTAGGCTCTGATAATGGAAAATGATTTTCTGAAACGTTAATAATTAAAGAAACCCAACTTAGTCAAGATGTTTGTATTTTCCCTGGTTCTCCTCTTCATTATATATATATATATATATATATATATATATATATATATATATATATATATATATATATATATATATATATATATATATATATAAAGCTGCCTTGCATTAAGAACATCGCTATAAAGATTCGTATGGAGAATTTCTTCAGAGACAACCAAACGATTTATTGTCTAGCTACTTGACTGGACCTACTCCAAAACGAGTGTGTAAACAACTATATCACAACCTTGTAGGTTGTCAGTCGTTCTAACAATACTGGTAAAACAAACAATATTGCAAGACGATAAAAAATCAATTTGCAGTACATTATAAAAACGTAATAATGGTGAAGATGCATTGCCCACAAGATGCAGGCGTGATGCTGAAGAACTTTTTGTAACTTGACCGTTTACTACAATAATAACAAACTTTAGCACTGATGTCCGTGTTCACTGCTATACACAGTACTATACTACCATTATAACAAACTTAGTACCGTTGTGTGTTCGTGTTTACTGCTATACACAGTACCTCTTTACATAGAGACGAGGATTGTCACAAGGTTTGAAGCTACCACAACTCGTCATTCACTTATTTGATAAATTTTAAGTGTTTGTAGTCTTTTATTTTTACAGCTGCTTCGATTTTCTTCTCTTAGACACTACTGACCTCATCTTACAACATCACAGAAAGCCTCTGACGATTTTCAGAGGGTCTCGGAGCTCGCCTCACCGCCCACTTCCTTTCATGTCTTTAACAAGGGATTCCAATGAATGCTCTTCTAATAATAAAAAAAAATCCATTTCATCAAAACTCTCTAAATACAGTAGAGCAGCCATTCATCACCTAACCATAATTTTAGCAATAATTTAAATACCACACCATCTTGCTTCTCGCTTCCCCACAGTAGTCGCTGAATTCTGAAAATCTTTTACTATTGCCTCTAACGACACCAGCCTCATGCTGTCAAACCAGCTTCTTGCTTCTCACGACAGTCAGTAACTAATGCCTTGGAATAGTTTCCCGTAACAGCTATTAATAATGTTACTGAATCAAAAAAGTAAATGAAAGATGAATCTACCACAGAGATGCCATTACTGTACTGTATAACTATTGGAGTTCCCCCTTCACTTCCAAACTTCGTTATAACACCAACGCTGACATAGTTCCTTAACAAATTACCAGTACAGAAATTAATCAGGTAATTATATTTGAACACATGTTCATTTTCCACCTTACTGATTTTCATGCACAGAAAACGAACTGTTTCTCACACTCCTAGTTTTAGACCAAAATATCAAGAAAAACAACAGAATTTTACGAAATAACCAATCTAACCACCTTATTGCATCTAGCTAAGGCCTAAGCATACTGTACTGTAGAATAAATATGAGTAAGGGATAGTATTTGTATGCCAATATATCAATGTACTCTCACATCTTCTCCTCGGTCTGTGTCCACTGAGCCACCTACTGCCTTTGCATGCTTGTGTCTTGTCCGTTACACAATGTTTTCTTCGTCTGTCAAATCGCATTTTAATCTTGTTTGTGTTAATGTATGTGTTCCTGGTAATGTCACCATTATTGGGGGTTCTGGTTGGTCTGGACGTACCAAGTTTTATTTGTAACAGGTTACTGAGCACCGCACTACTGAAGTTTCCAGGCACAGTCAGTCAGTCTTCAGTTGTCTACACTTCTTTTGATGCATGATATCCTTGTTTTCGCTTGGATATTGGTTTATTTTCAGATTTTCTTTTGCAGATTTTCGGGTTTATGCGAATGTGATTTCTTAAAATATTTGATTATATATGATAATATCACAATTTCCAGAGCAACGCATGCAAATTTATATTTAATATTTCCTGTTATTATAATACGATAATATACATGCCCTTGTTGTATAGACTATCAAATATGCACATGTGGATGAAGTAATGGTTACTGTTGAGGTGTTTCCCCTTCCTCAGGATACAAAGGGATCACCTAATGTGTCAGGGCCAGGCGCCGCGGGCCAGCAACAGAAGAGCTCCATCAGTGGAATGCTCTCGGACTTCACGCGGGCCCTAGGTAAGGTTGCTTCTCACACTTACTATCTTCTGTGTGTTCATGTTTTCAGGACACCATTACAAAGTTCAGTATTACCGAGAAGAACACCCGCCTCAGGCAAGTATAATATTTCTGCAACATTCTTAGTTGACCGATCTAATGCCACTTACTACACGAACAGTTTCTAAACCACGTATGACAGTGAATCAGTGTGATTAATTTTTGTCATGGTAAAAGTAGGAGCCATTAAACTCACAGAAATATTTAGCACTTATACAAACCCCTTGACGGGCATGATACATTAGGTTAACGTGTCAAAGAATTGTTTTTGTTTATTTCTTGGGAAAGGAAAATCTAACTTGATCAAATTTAACACTTTATTATATCGTCATATTATAAGAGTTATGTCCATGCAGTCAGTACATCTTTGTGTAGACTCGCGTACCCACAGTGATGACAAATGATCGGTGAAGATTATAATGTTTATGCCTTATACTGTATGTAGCTTAATGGGAGTCATTATTATGTATTATGGCGTTTGAACGGTAAATATCTTTTAGTACAGAACAACTCCCGATAACATTTAACTGGAGTCATAAAAGAGATTATCATTTTTCTACACCGTCAGCAAACTTGACAGCATCTAATATCTACATAGAAATATAAATGCATGGAGCCTTACAGTGCTGTGTATATATTATGGTTTCTGTGTAGAGGCGACTACTGTACTGTGTAGAGGCTCAGGATAACTTGATAATGATCTTAACAAATACCGAAAGTGACTTCCTTTTAGCCCTTGTTATGGTCGTTTTTTAATCTGTTTGTGTCTGACAACTGGCTGATCTATTCTCAAATACAATACTGTACTGCAAGCAACTAAGACTTAGCATGGTTAAACACCCGTCATCGAGGTGGGAAAAAGACATGAGTCTCTAGGTATTAAATTGGAGATAAATAAAAATATCAGACATTCCCCTCCGCTTTCTTCCATCACTCATCCCTCTCCGTGCATACATTTATTCCCTCCTCATGCCCTCCCCGTCCTCACTTCCTTCCCCTAAAACATATTTCCATCCCCTCCCATATATTCCTCCCCTCACCCATCCATTCCTCCCATCACCCATCCATTCCTCCCCTCACCCATACATGCCCCCTCTCCTGTGTCCTCTGCACTGGAGGATATCTGTAAGAACTACCGTTATCCAAAACTCAAACAAATCGTTCAGCTCGTTCATCTACACTTACTCCAAAATTCAGAAATTCAGCATCGTTTACATCCCTCTCTCTGGGCATATTCAAATCACCTGAGCTAAATGTGATCAGCTCTCTGAATTAGTTCTTTTTTCACTTTCACATCTCATTTATATATTTATTAATCATTTCATCTCATTCATTCGACGTATCTCTCTCAAATCCGTCATTTTTTATACACAAATGTACTTTCTCATTTATCCATATTGTTGGATCAACAATTTTCTTGCATTCAATTGACAAAAAAAATATATATATAATTTGGCTCAACGGAAGTAAACATAGTTGTATACACGCTGGAGAGTGTACAATGACGAGGGGTGAAGAGAGAGCAGATCCCCTGTGTCTGTAAAGGAGTGAGCTGCTCGTGGTGCTGCAGGACGTCTCTAGGTTTATTAGGTGACGACACTGTACGATTTGATTTTTTTAAAGGCTTCAACAACAGACCTCATTTTGCCCACTAACGACTGTAGTAGTAATAGTACCACCAGCAGTAGAATTTGCAGCAGTCACAATAGTAGTAGTAGTAGTAGTAGTAGTATTTACAATTGTAGAAATGTTAATAAAGGTAATAAAATAATAAAAATTGTTAGTAGAATAGTAATAAGGAAACGAAAGAGAAGAACACTCCCTTATAGTGGCCGAAGGCTCTGTATTCTTCTGTAAGTAGTCAATTGTATCTGCATCAGTGTGTGAATGAACTTGCTTTGAGAACCTTGTATGTAATTAGTCACTAACTACGATCGTATTTACTACAGGAAGTAATTCAGGTTATTGGCAGAATGACACCACATAATCTATCTCTTTAATGTTCTTCTGTCAATTCCAAGTTCATATTATTGATAACTTCTTCCAGTTCATTTCGATGTTATGCAATAACGGATGTTGTCGGGTCTGTATTTGTTTCATGCTTTCGTGTAACTCGTTCCAGCTCCCTTGATAATCGCCGGTATGACACTCATGATTACGTTAAGCAAGACACAAGCCTCTCAACAAGGCTGTAAACTGGTTTTGGCTCCAACATAAAACTTAACTCTGAGACATAATATTTTGTTGAGGAAACTATATTTACCTCTTTAGAAATGTTTTTCATCTCAATATAACTATTACTTTCTTTCCCTCCACTACACTGTCATTCACTTATAACTCGTTTCCCCATTGGTTAATGCATCCACTACCAGACATCTGCAACGCCTCACTGTCTCTATTGTAAATCCATTCTTGTTAACAGTCTCCCTTCTCTTGTTATTTTCAAAGCTTTACTCTTACTCACTTTGAAAATGCATTTGTTCTTGGTATACTGTACACTCTTCCTTACTCATTCATTAACGTTGTTAACTTCCCCCGAATCACCTACAGGTCTAATTACCCATTTCCTCACCTTCTCCATTGTTCTTGCTTTACCATCTCCCACCTCACTACCTATCCATCAACAACCATGGTGACATTAAAAAATAATTTTAAATCTTTCCTCTTTACAGTTTACCCTCTCCAACACACTTTATCACACGCTTCACGTCCCATATAATATACTCCACGCGCTTTCTCCCTCGCTTTCCTACCTACTTTACCATATGCATTTTCCAGATCCTTAAATGCTACAAGCAATTAATTTTCATCATCCAAGACACCTTCACTCTCTCCTTGATGCAAATCCTTGATCCTCATACAATATTTTGTTGAACCCAAAATAGATTTATGTGAAAAATTTTCCATGGATTACCGTACGCTTTCCCAGGCTTATACTATATATATATATATATATATATATATATATATATATATATATATATATATATATATATATATATATATATATATATATATATATATATATATATATATATATATATATATATATATATATATAAATCACAATGAAAACGTGGATAAGATAAATCTTGATAAAAATCACGGAAAATGGAAACAGCAAGTACCTTAGCTTTCGTCTTTGTTCAAGACGTCTTGACATATATATATATATATATATATATATATATATATATATATATATATATATATATATATATATATATATATTGATAAAATCACACGAGGAAAAGGGAAACAACGGAGCACCTTAGCTTTCGTCTTTATTCAAGACATCTTCAGAGGCAACTGGATTACATGGACAGGGAGAGGCTTAAATATACAGGGTGACCTTATTAAACATGCACGGCAAGCCTCTAAGTTCCAGGCACCCTGCATCACAAGCAAGATTTTGATGTGGATTAACATCTGGTTCGAATACAGGCAACAAAAGGTGGTAATAAATGGAATACATTCTGGATGGGAAAATGTTCTCATGGGAGTATCACAAGGCTCTATCCTTGGACCCACCTTGTTTGTGATTACAAAAAAGACAGATGAAAATATATCGAGTCATATTGTTAACTTCGCAGGCGATACGAAGATATTTGTGAAGGTAGCAAGTCAAGATCATGTCAAAACAATGCAGAAAGACATGCATGTTCTGTTAAATGGTCTCGAGAATGGCAAATGCTCTTTAACATTACAAAATGCAAGACCTTACACGTCGGATACAACAACCTTAAGCACAACTATCATGCTAATAACACCTGCCTGGCTATTGTCGATAAGGAAAAAGATCTAGTCGTTATGAAAGATCGTTCACTGAAGGCGGCGCAACAAGTGGGGGAAACAGTGAGGAAATCGAGATTTGGGAATTAAAAAGCGTACCTTTGAATACACAGTTAGGAAAATGATCCTTCAACTGTACAAATCTTAAGTACGTCCCGGTCTGGATTACTGTATACAGGCACGGAAATCCTACCTCTAGAAAGATCTAACATCCTTAGAAAAGGTGTAACACAGAGCTACTAATAGGTTCCAGAACAATGTCATCTCGATTATCCAAGTAGACTAGCAACCTCTCAGACAAGGCACAATAGGGCAGATCTCACTGAAACATTCAAAATTATGAAAGGGAAGGAAAACGTGAACCCGGGACATTTCTTTGTGAACTCACGCACCACCAACATGAGAGGACATAACTACAAGCTCGACAAGTTTCCATGCAGAACGAATATAAGTAAAAACTTCTTCACACAGAGGGTGGTAGACCTATGGAACGGTCTTCCAGCCCAAGCTGTGGATTCAAGAACAGCACTGGCCTTCAAAATAGCCCTTGACAAAGTTTACAATGGAGTGACCCTACACAGGCCACTAGCCTTCTTGCATCGATATGGTCACCTGTTGGTGGCCATTAGGTAAATAAGGTATTAATTCTTGTCATCCATTCTATCTCTTTCCCATCTGATCTTTAACAGTGTTACTCCTCTACTCCTATTATCTTACAATTCTCAGGCATGTTTATACCAATGATCATTACTTTAACACGTTAACCTTTATCACGCCCCAAAAGGATAACTCCGTCTGTGTTTAATTTCTAGATTTAACTGTTGCCAGAAATATTCAACCACCTCTTCATCACACCATATCTCCTCCATCAACCTTAACTCCCATTTTCATTTATTCTCAACTCCTTTCCCCCGACTTTTATATGTACTTTTTGTGGATTATTTCATAATTCTCTATTAAGAACATAAGAATGGAGGAAACTGCAACGGGCCTATTGGCCCATACTAGGAAGCCCGTTTACACCCAACCCCTATCGCTCATATTTAAGCTACCCATCTTGTTCGAATTTATGATTAAGTTCGGTAACTTGTTTCACTCATCCACTACTCTATTTCCAAACCAATGTTTACCTATCTCACATCTAAATCTAAATTTGTCTAATTTAAAAT